AAACAGAGTCTTCTTGAGCTGTTTGTCATTAAACAGTAGGGGTGACAGTCTAGGAGATTTGTACCGAGAACAATTTTACTGCCTCTTGCTGGCAGTTTCTGGTCTCTTTCCCCACTAAGAGCCAAGAACAGAATCTCAGGGGCACAGACTCACTGGCTCTTTGGAAATTTAATTGCTTCTTCCTTCTGTTGTTGTTGTTGTTATGTGCTGTCGAGTCGGCCCCGACTCATAGCGACCCCTCCTTGGGTTTCCGAGGCAGTATCACTACGGAAGTAGGATTGCCCAACCTTCCTTCCGAGGAGTGGCTGGTGGGTTTGAACCGCCAGCCGTCTGGTTAGCAGGCAAGTGTCTTAGCCACTAGGGTGACTGAAAAATCAAAAAACAAACTCACTGCCTTCAAGTGACTTCAACTCCTAGTGACCCCTCCTTGGGTTTCCGAGGCAGTATCACTACAAAAGTCGATTGCCCAATCTTGCTTCCGAGTAGTGGCCGGTGGATTTGAACTGGCAGCCTTCTGGTTAGCAGTCAAATGCCTTGGGCACTACGCCACCAGAGCTCCCTCCAGGGTGACTAGAGACAGGCCTGGGGAGGAGGCAGCGTCTTCAGCACCTTGGAAAGCTCCCAGGGGGCTTCCTGCTAGGGTGGAAGAGGGAACTGGTGTGACTGTGGCTTGACCCCATACCACATGGCCAGTGCTGCAGTGTCCTGTCTGTGGTTACGGGAGAGGGGCATCTGCCCTTGCCTGCAAGGAACCCATACGACGACTTTGGTAGTGTCCCTAAAAGGGGCTGCATGTGGGCTCCAGGCAGGTCGCCTGGGCTCAGCCTTCCACTCTGCCAGTTCCTAGTGGGGTGGCTTTCTTGTCCTCCCTGTGGGCCTAACTTTTTGTTTTGTTTTAAACTTTTGAAATGGAAATAGCAGCATCCGTCTCACACCTACTGTGTCTTGATTTGGAAATGTTATTGTCGGATGCCGTTGCATTGATTCCGGCTCAAAGTGACCCCATGGGGTAGAGTGGAACTGCTCCATGGGGTCTCCTAGGCTGTGATCTTCATAGATCACCAGGTCTTGCTTTTGCAGAGCTGCTGGGTGGCTTCGAACTGCCAGGGTTTTGGTTGGCAGCCGTGCACTTAACTGTTTGCACCAGCAAGGCTCCACACTGTGAAGTTTGATATTGAGTCGAAGCCTGTGGGCCACATGCGCAGGGGCTCCCTCATGGCAGGCACTTTGGAAATGTCCTGCGACGGCCATGAAGATAGGAATTTCCTTCACCATCCTCACCATTTATCAACCCCTTGCCCCAAATGCCAGGGTGTGTGCGTTCAAGACGTAGCAGCCCCGGTGCCTCCAGCCCTCGGTCCCAGCTGATCTAGCAGCCACACTGCAGGCTGGGCAGCCTGTCTGCCTCCCGTGAGCACGGGTGGTTTGTGGGGCCACAAAGGAGGGCAGAGTGCATGCCAGTGCTTTAGCTTTATTAACGAAGCTTTGCGATCTTGGGGCTGGTGTCTGGAGCAGAAGAATACAGAAGTGTGCTGCTGGAGGGCTTACCTAAGCCCCGTGGGGGCTGCGTGGGGCTCACTCACTCGCAGGCTCCTCGTCTGCAAGCTCCCTCGTCCTGGCGGCCTCCTTCCTGTCCCGCAGATACAGTGCAGCTACCCTGTGTCATCCGCCTCATAAGCCAGGTGTGATCTTGTGTAACTAGGGAGAGGACCGTGCTACCGTCTGAGGTCTTCATTTCATGCAACCGGGAATGGACTCCAGAGAGAACCAGGGAGGTCAGCTGGCTTGAGGACTGTCAGCTCTTGCCTGCTGGAACCGTGCACACTCAAACAGATCCACAGAGTAAGGGTCGGAAGGTTTTGCCTACCCCTCCAGAAGCCCACCTGCACTTCGTGGATTTGGGTCCCCTCCTGTCCTCCCTGACCCTTAGCTATGAGTCGGTGGGTGGGCAGTCACCATGCAAGGCTTCTGCTGGAGACTCAGACCGATAGGCCTGTTACTTCCCTGACGCCTGTCCCTGATGGCCCGGCACCCACCTCTTCACACAGGTGCCTGGCCCAGGCAAGGGCACCTGAGCCTATGTGGGTGTTAGCACCCCTCTGGGGATGCAACCTGACCAGGGGGAGAACATAGAGCCACTCATGGGCCACGCTGCTGAGGGTGGCAGCACAGTCATAAGGGGAGAGGCCAGGACCACAGCCTGGGTGGTGGGGCAGGGCCGCAGGGCGGGGAGTGCGTGCAGGGTGGGAGGAAGCAGGCTGGGTGAGGCGGCAGCCCCCCCCGCCCCCCAAGCCTGGGCTCCTCCTCACTGCCCTGGCCACTCCCCTGAACTCTGTATCTGTGTCTCTGCTGGTGTGCCCCACCACCCCGCCCCCTCCACAACAGAACCAGTGTCGCCAAGTGGCTTCCCAGCCGACGTGAGCCCAGCTGCGTCAGAGCAGAGCTGTGCTCAGTGAGGTCTTCAGTAGCTGGTTTCTTGGAAGTAGACAGCCAGGCCTTTGTTCTGACGTGCCTCTGGGTGGACTCCAGCCCCCAGCCTTTCAGTTGGCAGCCAGGCGCATTAAGCATTTGACGCGCTCTTTCTCCCATGGACTCTCCCTGGGACGCAGCTCAGATGTCCCCTTCACTGGGACAGTTTTCAGTCTTCTGCACTTCCTGCTGCTCCTTGGGGCTGCCAGCTCCTTCCTGTCCTAAGGTCACATTTCCTGTTAGCAAGTCTGTCTCTGCTGGGGGCCAGAGTCACAGCTCAGTGTCCCCAGCCACGTGTCACAGCATCACCTGAGACATACGCTCTAGATCTGCTGGTGGAATGAATGAGAGAGTGAATGAATGAATCTGCCTCCCGGGGTTGTCACAAGACCGAACGAGATAATTAGTGCTTGGTAGAGCACAGAGCAGTGGTAACGTCAGTCAGCAAACATGGCCTGCGCAGAGAGAGATGGAGACGGTGCATCTGCCAGGATCCTTCTGAGGCAGAGGGTCCTCTTTGGAAGGAACATCGGGAAATTGCCTGTGGTGGAGTAGGATCCCTCACGGAGTGGTAGGCAGCAGGAATGATGGCGAACTCCTGAGGCCAGGGGAGACTTGTCTGCCTCCTGAGAGCATGAGGTAGCAGAGAACGGAGCTTGGAGAGAGGCGTAGCTATAGGGAACGTTGGCTTAATGCTTCCCCTGGGCAGGGGCCCTATCCCACTGACAGCTCATGACAGCTTGGTGAAGGTGGTTTTGTTGTGCCCATTTTACAGATCCGGAAACTGAGACCCAGAGAGTTTAGGTAAATGGCCCAGAGCTCATCAGAGGCAGTTCTAGTACCCCCAGCTAGGCAGAGTGTCTGCAGCCCGTAAGAAGAGAAGGGGAGGGAGGGGTTTCCTTGGGGCTGCGTCTCCTCTACATGACCCCAGACCTTTAGGAACAGCAGCCGAGATCTCAGATTCTCGGCTAAGGGGCTGCTGGGGGATTCAGGGTTGAACGTGGCATTCAGGTTGGAGCAGAATAAGGCCAACATGTCCCTGCGCCCTCTGAGTTCCTTGGAGCTGGGGTGGGGGACATCCCTGCACTGGCTGTACCCCAGCAGAGGCCCAGTGGCTGTGTGGCCCTCAACAGCCCTTTTGCCCCTCCGTGCTCTGCTCACTGCCTCATAGGTGTTAGAAGGAGCCCCAGACACGCCCATCCCTGTGGCAGGAGGGACCCAGGAGCTCTGGCCTTCCCTCCGTCCTGGTCCCCTCCCCGACTCCCAGCCACTGCCCTGTTCTGCCTCCCCGCCCTCTCACTGTCCTGGGGCTGGGCCACTGTGATTTTAGTGAGCATGCCATCTTCTTCAGCAGCCTGTAAGCCACTCGCGGTCAAGTCAGGTAGGAGCCCATCCGACCCCAGAGCCGAGCACCACGCTGTGTCACTTCCAGCACCACTCGTGTTGGCTGGGTGTGGTAGGCTTCTAAAGGAAGCAAGAGGTGGCTGGTTTTCCCAGGTCCCCAGCCCCTGGAGAAGGTCAGATGCTAAATTCTCCCCTTTCAACGGCCACTTAAATACTGTGTCTCCTTTACACAGGAGAGGGGCAGGAGGCTGGGCCATCCTGGCGCCTGGGAGGCTTGGTCCTGCTGCCTTTCTGAGCCTCGTTCTCCACCCACTGGCCCTGGCTGAGAGGCCTCAGGACTCCCTCCGTAATGAATGTGCTTCAGTGAGCCCCGTTCGTGATAATATGTGTGATTACATCAAGGTGTGTGACGTGACCAACACGAAGCCACCACGAGCCCAGAGCGTGTGGAGACATGCACTGGCTGTGTGGAACAGGGCTCATGCTTTGCACTTGGCGCATGTGTTAAGGAAAAGCAACTTCCCGCTTCCTTCGCTGCCCCAGTGAGAATCATTGCTGTGATTAGCTTATCCTCACGATGGCCTTCCTTCCATCACTGATTTGGGGGTGAGAGGAGAGAAGCCCTGGAGGTCTGCATCCTCACTGTGGCTCCCATGCCGCCTGAGAAAAGAGAAGACACAGCTTTGTGGGGGAGGTTTCCCCTGGGGGCTTCCTTCTGGAGGGTGACTCTGTCTGGGGTGTCCGAGTGTCCTCGGGCTGCTGCAATGGCAGCACTGGCTGGGCTTGGGGCGAGCTCTCTAGAACAGTTCAGTTTCTCACAGTGCAGGAGATTAGAAATCTGAACTCGGAGGGCGGCTCTAGGCAGAGGTCCCTCCTTATGGGTAGTCAAGAGTTTCTTGAAATTCTTTGGCCTCTGTCTTCCTTCTGGGTGGGTCTCTGGTCTCTGTCTTCCCTCTCTGTGGCTCTCTGTCTTCCCTCTGACTCTGTTCTGGTCTATAACCTGGAGGTAATGAGGTTTGGGATCCATTTGACACGGGTCTAGCCTCATTCATACAACAGACGAAAGCCCATTTCCTGCAGGCTCAGATTCACGGCACAGGGGTTAGGACTCGACACTGATTCCGGGAGACACAGTTCAGTCCCTCACGGGCCTGATGGGAGCCAAGTTTTCCTTGACTGGGATGCACCCATCTCTGAAGCGCCAAGGAGAGGCAAGCGTGGAAGGCGTCCTGAACCGGCTGGTCCTGGAGCACCTGCAGCTGGCCCCTCTGCAGTGGGGTGAGTACCGGACATGTACTGGCCTCATGTGCACGTGCGTGTTGACCATGTGGGGTGGGCACCGCAGACGTGAGCAATACTGCCAGGCTGCATAGGGAGCTGCGGGAAAGCAGAGGTAACGGGCCGCGTTGGGGTGATTGCATGGGACACTGGGGTTGGCAGGCCATCCATCGTTCTGCCTGGCAGCTCACATGCAGGCTTATCCTGTCTGCTGTCCGAGCTGCACACACTTGGAAAAGAGCTTGGTGCCTGTTAGACGCAGCTGCTAACAGACCTGGGGAGAGCAGTACCTTGAGTTCCATTGCTGTGGCATCGGCCGCCTTCCAGCAGGACCTATGCTGCCCAGACTGAATGTGTTCTGCGGATGCTCCGGGGTCTCGGAGCCATTTGGGTGAAAGAGACACATGGGGCGCCTTCTCGCCTTACCCTCGTTCTCTTGAGTTGGCTCCGACGGCTTGTCACATGGTCAGCATGGAAAATGGGTGGTTTGTGAGCAGTGTAACTAAGCTTTGTGTGTAACCTGCACAAGGTACCGTGATTTAACCCTCTCGTGGTTGGTGGCCGTCAAGTCAGCTGTGGCCCATGGTGACTGTGTACAGCACCGGCCGGTCCACTGAACACGGTCCGTGTGAACATTTGCTTCCTGTGGCACCTAGGAACCTTCACCCTGGCCCAGGCCTGGGAACCCTCACCCAGGCCCCTGCATTTCTAAGTGGCAGTATTTTGCCGAGAGACAAGCTGAGCACGGTGTTCTGTGCAAGGCAACAGGCTTAATCGTTCTCAGAGATGATCTCCTCACGGGGTCTGTTTTGGGTTAGTGTCGACAGTCGGTTGTAAACCTGTAGTTCTTCTTCATCTTCACCCAAGAAGTCACGGATGTTAGCTTGTTGCTCAGGGCCCTCCCATTTGCCTGCTGGAGACCCTGCAGTCCATCCCAGGGTCCTGAGTAGAATACCCATAAACCCATCTCCTTCCAGCCCATGGCTCCCCACTAGCTTGTGGGGCCCCCTCGCCCTGCACCTCGCTGCCCCTTCTCTGTCCCATCCTTCCTCACAGTGAAGCTGGCTGGGGCCATGGCGGATGGCGGATGTGGGCGGATCTGTGGTCTGTGCTCAGGGAACTCCCTCCATAGCTGATTTGCCCTAGGGGAGGGGCTGCCCTGGCTGCAGAGGACTCGCCTGTTTAGACCTCACGGGTCCCTACAGGCTGAGACCCTTCTCTAGATTGGAATGTCCTGTCTCATGACTGTCTGGGGCACAATCGGCTGCTTGCAGCAGATTTGGACAGTGGAGGGGGGTCAGACCAGGGACCTTCCGGTCCACAGGATTGAGACTGGCCTAGGGAACTGGGCCTGTTTAATCTGTGGCTGGCGGAGAGTCTAGTAGGCAGACAGGACAGGGCAGGTGAGCCAATGGTAGGCCATAGTGGAACAAGCCAGGAGCCAAAGATCTGAGAGCAGGGCAAGTGACTGTGAGTGCACAAGGCCAGCAGGGAGGAGGCCCAGCGACAGCATGAGCTGACGTTCATTGCTACCGTTGGCCTTGCCTTGTTTTCCTTGATGCCTCTTAGGGGCAGGGGAGGGGTGAGGGAGCGGAGGGAGCTGTGGTTGTGAGAGCAGTCTTAGCTGAAACCTTCCCACCATGCACTGGTGCACTAGAGGTGAGCGTGGGGTCAGGTGCACCTGGACTTCGCTTGCATTTCTGCTGTGTGCTGGTGGTCACCCAGGACAAGTGACCATGTCCACCCTGAGCCCTGGTCTCGCCATCACAGGAAGGGGGTGTCTTCCATGACTGCCTTTCCACATTGCTGCCAGGATTAGAATCAGGAAAAATGACATTTGCAAAAGAGTTGGGCAAGCCGTCACCCGCCAGTCACTGGCAGAGCGCAGATGTATGGCAGCCATTCATGTCTGAAAGCCACAGAGAATTTCAGGTAAAAATGTGTTATTTCTGGAAAATGGGCTCAGTCCTGAGAGCCATGCCCTCTGGGGCTGTGGTGCCCCAGCCCACAAAGGACCCTTGCCAGCCCATGCTTCTCAGACCTCCCGCTTGGCCCTGGCCATCTTGACAGGGTGAGCCACCCTCAGGAAAGCTCCTGGAGCCACCAGCAGTGTGTCTCTGGGCACCTGGGAGATGAGGACTGCTGCTGAGTGGCATGGCTGTGGGAGACGTGGCTCGTGTGTGTGACACAGCATGACTACAGCATTGCCCATTGTTCTGTCATCACCCAATGCCAAGAGTCAGTGCTGGCATAGGAACCGTCCCCTTTTGCTCTATCCATCCTTGGGGAGTCTGAGAAGGTTGCTGTGGGGATGCATTTGTGTAGTGGAGAGAGGCGATTGGCAGTTTGGATGCTAGCTGTTTGGCTGCTAACTGTGGAAAGTCCCGGGTGCTGTAGTGGAACCGTGACTTGAGGAGCAGTGTGATGGGAATCTGAAGACACTTTTAAGACCTGGCTTGACATGTTCAGACCAGGGCTGGTTACT